CTTTTCCAGATCCTTCCTATGCTCTGCCATCTCTACCAAAACTCCGTGACTTATTTCAGGGCTGTATCCCACACGATTGAGCAATGCCTGTTCCACCAGTTGTCACAATTAGTGCACAAACGAATTACGACAGTGCAGTATGCAAAACTAAATCTATATGTTCTATTTAGTTAGATTGCATTAAAAATGCATCAATAATTACAAATCTGCACATAAAGTGCCAATTGATAAATTGCCAAATCTTTTTCTCATCAAAGAATCTCCCTCAAACTTCTCTTCCAAGTGAACGCATTGAACTATAATGGAAGAGAATTAGAACAGACAGTTGACAACAAGAAGCAGTCAACAAGATGCTACCTTATAATTAGAATACTGTTGCAGATACTGTCTTTCTTTTGAATCCATGATGGCGGAGCTGGTTTTCCAGTGCTCCATTTGAGCTTCACAAGGAGATGCATCATCTTCCAATTGTGCAAGTGCTCTGCCAAGAAAATATAAACGATTAAGAGGAAAAGTAAAAATTGGAAGCCAAAAGATGAAGTTAGCTTCCTGTCAAGTACCATTAACACAAATACAATATATCTTAGCCATAATGGAGAACCTAAATTCTCTCTTAAGAAAAAGATAAATCATTCATGCACCGTTTCAAATAGGTCAGTCTTGCTATAGCCTTTCGAGTATAATCAAGAAGTTCTTTGGACTCCTTTTGCACTTTAGCCCTCTTCTCTTCTACTGCAGTTTTTCTCAGAGACAAATCAGCCATTGCTACAAGAAAACTAGAACATTTTTTCCTGTAAGCCTGCAGAAACATAAATAATTGTTGTCTAAAAGTATAAGGGAAAAACCCACCTGCTTAGCTCAGTATCTCTAATATTCAACAAATTTGCCACATTGGCAAGAACTTGTGAAGATGAGACCACATTTGACGGCAAACTATCTTGCACCAACCCCACATGCTCCAACATCTCTCTTATCCTTGCAGCTATAGTAACAAAATATTGCGAACGCCCCCATACAAAATGCAAATGACTTTAAGACATACATTAGTTTTAGCACATGAGATCAAATTGTAAACATGAGAATGAAAATAACTTAATGTGAATGAAACCACACAAGAAAGACAGTAACACAATAATTTACATTGTGTGTGTATTTTAATATTAGTTTAGATGGTAGGACCTTGGGAGCGATACTCTGTGGCTTTTTGACGTAAGTCATTTGCAACTATGGTGGCAGCCTGGGTTTTGGCTTGGGAGAGAGTGATGATCTTGTGTAAATGAGCAATACTCCGAGGGGTGTACTCAAAATAAGGGAGATCTTTCCCAGCTGCATCAAATTGGGAAATGAGCCATGCTTTCACTTCTGCAATTCGACTGGCATCAAAACCAGCATTATCACTTGTCTTTATTGATTCCGAGGATGTTACTGAAGTCGTAGGAGGAGTATCAATTCCCGCCACAATTTCACTCATTCTTTTGCACTATTTTTCTGACTTTCAACCTTCGAGTTAGACCTTTACCCCTAAATCACAATAAATATAAAACTAGGTAACAATGATAAACAAGAGCATTCAAATGGAAAATTCTAACATCAATAAACTGTAGAATCAAAACGTAATTCACCTCAACTAAAGTAAATGTGAAACATAAATCTGTCAATTAAAGTAAATGTGAAACATAATATTTCAATTATTCGCAAAAGGAAGGATAAAACTAAGGACAAAATGGAGTTGGTTTAAATTAGTTTTAAATTAAAGTGGAAATAAAACGGATCGAACAATTTGCTTGGAAGGCCATATTGTGTTCTGGCCGGAACACACAAGATGCCTTATTACAGATGAATGAAAGTTTGCAGTAAATTCTGGAAAAATTATTGCAGTCGAAATAATACACAAAGTGGAATCAATTCCAAGGATCCGTTGGGTATGATGATACAATTAATATTACCAATTCATGACAGATTTGATTTAGAGTAATTTCAATGTAAAGGGAGAGAGAACAACAGCAAAAATTTAAATATTTGGAGAAGATAAACCTGAAACAACTGAGCAAAATAAGGACCCCTGATTCCTAATTAGGGCGAACCACTTGCTCAAATTTACAGGAGAACAATCGAATCAACACGGACCTATTCTGTCACGATTTGCCGAAAGAATACGTTCGAATTAATTGAATGCAGATTCTCATATTATGAGCCCCTTCTGTGCTTCTGCATTTTTCCCACGCAAAACAGTGATGATATTAGCAACCACGAAGGCCTCAGTGTTTGTTTGGACATAGGTGTTAAGATTAGGATCTTTAGGATTGTTCTGTACACTTTTCAAAGGTTTGGGACCTCTTCTACAAATTTCCTTAATAAGGTTTTTATGAGCTACATTAGTTTACAATCATTAACTTCAAATCCCATATATCTCTAGTAGTTATCTACATCAAAATAATTGGCATTAAC